ACTGGCCAAAGGAGTGAAGTGTGCAGTGATTCTAAGATCGACGGCACTCATCTGCATGTCATACTGACTGACAGTATTATTTCTCTTCCCAGCAGACCTCCAAGGGCATTTTAAATTAAAGGTACAGTGTTCTGCGCTAATATTAAGGTCTCTCTGAAGCCTAGAAACACCCTTTTTTAAGTTAAATTCACAGCGAATTTATTCGACTCGAATCGAATATTCTCCTCTGTTACGATGTTACCTCGGAGATCTCTGTGTGTGTGTGTGTGACAAACTCTAACTCTCTTGAAAGTCCCTCTCAAAGGGGAAGGGGCTCTGACTACACCTTTTGGGAGTGGTCATTGGGAGATTTCTGAAACTGCCAGCTCATGTCCCATGATATGAACCATACAGTTGACCCGAGGACTGTGCAATTACTTATCTTGAGTAAGATGGGGGGAGGAAGTACACTTTACAGCCTTTATGGACAGCTGGCCTCTGGATGCAGGATGTCTTAACCTGGTTGTTCCACCCCATCTGCCAGGAGATAACGTTTGCCTCACAGGAATGCAGGGGGGATGTGAGGAATGATTTGAGGAATGCCTCAGATAAATAGACAGAACACGAAAAAGAGAGTGTAAAGGGGGACTCCGCTCCAACAAGGATGAGCAAGTTTGCCACAGGGGTGTCATGGTGTGGGGGATCCATCCTGCCTTGTATCAACGGTTCAGGCTGGTGGTGGTGTGTCATGGTGTGGTGGATCCATGCCTTGTGTTCTGGGGTGGTGGTGGTGTCATGGTGTGGGGATCCATCCTGCCTTTATCAGCGGTTCAGGCTGGTGGTGGTGGTGTCATGGTGTGGGGGATCCATGCTGCCTTTTATCAACGGTTTTTATCAGGCTGGTGGTGGTGTGTCATGGTGAGAGGGAGATTTTCGTGGCATTAGCAAGGTGGACCTAATAAAGTGGCCAGTGAGTGTAGAAGGGGAAGTAACACTTAAAAGCTGTAGAAAACAAACGAAGTAACAAATGACTGTTGTGTAACTTATCTTTCAACTTGCTTTTTTTTGTTTTTTAATTTTGCATTGCTTGTACAATATGAACACAATTTGGAGTAGGCTGGACTTCTCATGTCTCTGCGCTCTTATAGTATCAAAAAGAATAATCAGATGGGACTTTTGAGGCACAACATATTTTTATAAAACACATTTTTATTTCATCCATAGAGAAGGTATTTAACCAACATACTTCATCCATTAATGTAATTAATGTTAAATACCTTCTCTCTTTATATAAGGATGATATACAAATGTGTTTTATAAAAATATGTTGTGCCTCAAAGTCCCATCTGATTATTCTTTTTGATACTACAATAGATTTAGGGATGTGACATATCGTTTTTTGGATTTTAGATTTTGGTTGTCTCTCTGCTTATATTTGTGGTGTGGGTTGGAGACGGAAATTAATCTGGCATCCTGTGATTGTCATTTTTGATTTATAAAAAGTGAAAGTGGAACAAGGTTCAGAACATCTTGGTCATTTCCCACAACTCGGACGTCTTTCACAGTTCTCTTGGAGTGGATCTGATATGGATGGAGCAATGAGGACCGGACTGAAAATTGCACATGTGATCTCCTTTCTTCTCCTCCTGGGATCAGGTCAGTGTCACTCTTCTGTGTATAATGTCATTGTACCTGAGGATACATTACAGAGCCGGACAATGGAGGTTCTCTGGCCTGTGTCCTCCTAGGAGGGATTCTCACGGCCCTTCCCTCTATGACCAGCAATCCATACATAAAAAGTTAAAGCGGAACTCCAGGAAAAGTAAAAATCCTCCCTGCACCTGCTACCAGCTAGTTTATGTCTAGGGGGATGGGGGGACAGGGAACAGTTTTGATCGTCCACTCCCCCCCAGATTCCTCTGCACTGCTATACTGGTCTCTGCAGCCTCTGCTCCCCCAGCCCTGGTGGTCTGAGGCCCTCTGTAGTCATCAAGACCAATGCAGAGACCCCAACCCTAGCTGGATGTTAGGAAACCGAGAGCCAGTCCACAGTTGGAGCCAAGGGGAGTGCTGTTTGCTGGAGAATTGGGAAATGCTTTATACATCCTCTAGACTAAAAGGAACAGTTAACTCTTGCAGTGCGGGTGCCGTCCCACTGCAAGGGAGAACCTCATCACTTTAAACCCGAATACATATTAATGACACAGATTCTGAGTCTAATTTAATACAGATAAGGCACTGAGTGAGTTTAATTACCACCTTAATCAGTCCCAGAACCTGTGTAATTAATATGTGTTCAGCTTTAAAGGGATGAGGTGGCCACCCTACCGGAGTTGGAGGCCGGAGGCTTTAACCACTTGAAGACCGGAATGATAAACTGTCATAATTTGAATGACAATTACTCAGTCATACAACACTGTTCACACATTAATTTCATATCTGTTTTTAGAGAAAGATAGAGCTTTCTTTTGGTGGTGTTTATTCCCCATTGAGTGTGGAGAAATTAAAGAGGAAACGCACTGCATTTGAGAACCACAAACCAATATAGTGTGTGTGTATATATATATATATATTTAAAATTACAAAACGCTGTGTATATATATATATATATATACACATTCCAAAGACATGCTGGTAAGGTGAATTGGCTCCTATCTAAATTGTCCCTAGTATGTGTATGTATGGATGTGAGTTAGGGACCGTAGATTATACGCCCCTTGAGGTTAGGGACTGATGTGAATGTACAATATATACAGTCAGGTCCATAAATATTGGGACATGGACACAATTCTAACATTTTTGGCTCTATACACCACCACAATGGATTTGAAATGAAACAAACATGATGTGCTTTAACTGCAGACTGTCAGCTTTAATTTGAGGGTATTTACATCCAAATCAGGTGAACGGTGTAGGAATGACAACAGTTTGCATATGTGCCTCCCACTTGTTAAGGGGCCAAAAGTAATGGGACAATTGGCTTCTCAGCTGTTCCATGGCCAGGTCTATGTTATTCCCTCATTATCCCAATTACAATGAGCAGATAAAAGGTCCAGAGTTCATTTCAAGTGTGCTATTTTGCATTTGGAATCTGTTGCTGTCAACTCATGAGATCCAAAGAGCTGTCACTATCAGTGAAGCCATCATTAGGCTGAAAAAACAAAACAAACCCATCAGAGAGATAGCAAAAACATTAGGCGTGGCCAAAACAACCGTTTGGAACATTCTTAAAAAGAAGGAACGCACCGGTGAGCTCAGCAACACCAAAAGACCCGGAACACCACGGAAAACAACTGTGGTGGATGAGCGAAGAATTCTTTCCCTGGTGAAGAAAACACCCTTCACAACAGTTGGCCAGATCAAGAACACCCTCCAGGAGGTAGGTGTATGTGTGTCAAAGTCAACAATCAAGAGAAGACTTCACCAGAGTGAATACAGAGGGTTCACCACAAGATGTAAACCATTGGTGAGCCTCAAAAACAGGAAGGCCACATTAGAGTTTGCCAAACGACATCTAAAAAAAGCCTTCACAGTTCTGGAACAACATCCTATGGACAGATGAGACCAACATCAACTTGTACCAGAGTGATGGGAAGAGAAGAGTATGGAGAAGGAACTGCTCATGATCCTAAGCATACCACCCCATCAGTGAAGCATGGTGGTGGTAGTGTCATGGCGTGGGCATGTATGGCTGCCAATGGAACTGCTTCTCTTGTATTTATTGATGATGTGACTGCTGACAGAAGCAGCCGGATGAATTCTGAAGTGTTTCGGGCAATATTATCTGCTCATATTAAGCCAAATGCTTCAGAACTCATTGGATGCCGCTTCACAGTGCAGATGGACAATGACCCAAAGCAGACTGCAAAAGCAGCCAAAGAGCTTTTTAAGGGAAAGAAGTGGAATGTATGCAATGGCCAAGTCAGTCACCTGACCTGAATATCCGATTGAGCATTTCACTTGCTGAAGACAAAACTGAAGGGAAAATGCCCCAAGAACAAGCAGGAACTGAAGACAGTTGCAGTAGAGGCCTGGCAGAGCATCACCAGGGATGAAACCCAGCGTCTGGGGATGTCTATGCGTTCCACACTTCAGGCTGTAATTGACTGCAAAGGATTTGCAACCAAGTATTAAAAAGTGAAAGTTTTATTTATGATTATTATTCTGTCCCATTACTTTTGGTCCCTTAACAAGTAGGAGGCACATATGCAAACTGTTGTAATTCCTACACCGTTCACCTGATTTGGATGTAAATACCCTCAAATTAAAGCTGACAGTCTGCAGTTAAAGCACATCTTGTTTGTTTCATTTCAAATCCATTGTGGTGGTGTATAGAGCCAAAAATGTTAGAATTGTGTCGATGTCCCAATATTTATGGACCTGACTGTATGTAAAGCGCTGTGTAAATTGATGGCGCTATATAGGTACCTGAAATAAATAATATATAGATTTTTCATCAGGCTGTGACCATATAGATAGAAGTTCAGGTTACCTTGTAATAGCTGTGGTCTGTGCTGCATGTGAAGGTGCTGGAAGGCGTTGCCCTGCCTGAGTTTTGTTTAAATAAACAATTGGCGTGCACGACAGCGACAAAGAGAACTTCCAGTGATTTCCTTTCCAGATGATATCTCATGCCTAAAGTAGCTCTTTTTAGAAATGTGTATCCTGCTGATTTATTACAGAGGATGTAGGGGAGGAAAAAGCTACAATTTCTGGGGAAATTGTGTGAAGTGTTCTTGCCTCCACCAGTAGTCTACAACTGGAGTGGGCGGAGTAACTGGGTGGAGTGGCTTGTCACTCTGCTGCCTGCTCACACACCTGGGTTCCTATGGCAACTCACTTTACAGCAAGGGCAGAGAAGAACGGTTAAAAACAAACTGCTCCAACTTGCTCACTTCACTGGCGGTTGCCATTTTCAAATGGTTGTAGTTTAAAAATTATAAATCCTACACCGAAGAGCTTTATATTTTGAGAATCACAATACCCAGACCTACATTTTGATGCATTGCATGTCTCTGAAATATTAAAATGAAGGCACAGTCGCAGTTTAGATATTGCCCTTCAAATTTGAGGTGGCTATTGTGGAGTTTCAATGTCAATGGGCGGCGTGAGTTGCAAAAAAAATGATCATATTGTGAAAACTATCAGCACTATGGCTTAGCCGTGGACATTTTTAGTGGCAGCAGGGTATAGATGAACGTTTTGATATAAGATATGTGTAGGTGGGCTTGCAAATGAGAGAGTGATGGTAGTTTAGAAATCATGTCCTGATTTTTCAGCTCACACTCTAGCTTTGAACATTCCGCCATTCATTTCTATGGGACCAATTTCACCACAAAAACGCCGATATTTCTTGAACCATTCGGCGAAACGTTCCACAAAGTAATAGCACACACCAATCGGGAACAATCTGCACGTTTCGGTTTATTACTGTCTATGTAGTGTAAAAACTGTGGGAGGAGTTAGGGGGGTAAATTTGGCTATAATAATAAGAATATATATGTGAGATAACAGGAAGTGGTCGCCATGCAACAACACTTAATAACAGGTGAAGGTATTTTCCACCTTAGTGGAAGAGCATGTGCAGAGTGACTCCTAGGGCTCTGTACTGTCAGCAGATGGATTGGGGACAGTAGATGAAGGGGAAGATCAGAGAAGACAGAATCAAACAGCCTTTTAACACAATGCAGAGGATTAACCCCTTAGATTCCACAGTGAGTATAACAAGCACGCTTTCCTGCATCTACAGACCGATTGTACTGTTGGGGGTTTTACGTGTACTTCTATGGGTGGTCCACTGCATTTCTTTCCCTTGTGCCTTCAATGCATCCCCTCAAACTATGAATGCATATCTTGGTGCCTTCTAACTAAAATCTGTTCAGTCTGTTCAGTCTATACACCTTAAATGGCTGCCTCCTGTTTCAAAAGCCAATTCGAAGATGTGGTAAGTATAAGGGGGGGGGGGGGGGAGTGTTTGTGGGCGTGGTCCCCAGATTTCATTTTGAAAATCTGACCCCCTTAATCTCGGGGGCAGTAGTCACTAGAAAGGTTTTCCCCAACTGAAGATTTCCCCTCTACTCCTGTTCTAGTGGTCAAAATGGGGACATTAATTCTCCGGACAAATAGAGAGGGCGAATCATCCCAATGGGGGTACAGACAGAAATAAAAACCCGACAGGAAGCCCAACCCTTGCCCACTCTATCCAAAGCTAGGCCCATGGTAAATCCCATTAAACCATGCAGAAATATTTATTCCCTGATTGATAAAGTGTATCTGTGGTGAAAATAAGATCGGAAGACGTTTATTGTAAAGTAAAATCTACAATTCTACAACGCTATCTCTCAGAAGATAAAACCTAACAAACCTACACTCCCCGCCCACTTTATTGGGTCCTCCTGTTCAATGGATTGGTAACACAAATTGCTAATCAGCCAATCACATGGCGGCAACTCAATGCATTTAGACATCTAGACATAGTGAAGACAACTTCATGAAGTTCAGACCGAGCATCGGAATGGGGAAGAAAGAGGATTTAAGTGACTTTGAACGTGGCATGGTTGTTGGTGCCAGACGGGCTGGTCTGAATATTTAAAAAACTGCTGATCTACTGGGATTTCACGCACAAGAATCTCTAGGGTTTAAAGAGAATGGTCAGA